GCCTGCCTGCCTGCCTGCCTGCCTGCCTGCCTGCCTGCCTGCCTGCCTGCCTGCCGCTGCTGCCTGCTGCTGCCTGCTGCTGCCTGCTGCTGCCTGCTGCTGCCTGCTGGCTGCTGGCTGCTGGCTGCTGGCTGCTGGCTGCTGGCTGCTGGCTGCGCGCTGCTGGCTGCTGGCTGGTGGCTGCTGCTGGCTGCTGGCTGCTGGCTGCTGGCTGCTGGCTGCTGGCTGCTGGCTGCTGGCTGCTGCTGCTGCTGCTGCTGCTGCTGCCGCTGCCGCCGCCGCCTGCTGCCGCTGCTGCTGCTGCTGCTGCTTCTGTTGTTGAAACTAAGATGAACTGGAGTTCTGCTGCCAGTCTTGCCCATAGTTAATAGTTGTCCTTCTGCCGTTGATGCTGCTCCATCTGTCAGGAGTTGATCTGTGATTGTTTGTGGTGATGCTTCTGCTTGGGCTAGCAGACTTGGGAATGCTGCATTGATGAACCCTGCAAATGCTGTGAATCGATACTTCCATTTTTCAAATTGGGAGTAGTTGCCGTCGTATGTTGGTGGGGGTATTTTGTACTGATGCGTTGTCCTCACTTGTTCCTCTGCCATTGTTGCTGCAGCTGTTGTTGTACTTGTTGATACTTGCCTTACCTGCTGATGCTTGTTTGCTGTTGTTACTTCGAGCTCACCCTGATGATCTTTCCAGGGATCACTGCTCCGCTACCATGTTAAAACGCAGAGCTGATGTGCCACTGATGCAGGCAGTTGGCTCTCTGATGTTTTAAGGGCCCTGATGTGCCCAGATGTCGTGGACACATGATGTGTCTCAGATATACCCTGCATGATGTACATGAGGAGATGTGCATGAGGATGCATAATGGATGCATGTATGTTAACAAAATGGATGGATGGACGGATAGATAGATAGACAGATGGACAGACAGACGGACAGACAGACAGACAGACAGATAAATAGATAGATAAATAGATACGTAGATAAAATATATAGATAAACAAATAGATAAATAGATAGATAAATAAATAAGATAGATAGATAACTTGTATTTACGTATGCTTAGTTTTAAATGTATGTATATGTATATATACTTATATGTATTTATATGTACGTATATATGTATGTATCAAAATAAAATAGGTGATATATATATATATATGTTTTATGATTCTTATGTGAACATTTGTGTGCAGTTTTTATGCTTTAGCTGGATGCGTGCTGACTACAGACCAGAGGTGGGCATGTTTTTGTGGCCCTGGATGTCAAGGGATGCTACCGCAGCAACGCTGGATCCGTTTGGTCAATTCCTATCCTAATTTCTTTGTTGTTTGAGGAGATGTTGTGCCATAGGCCTGATGGTTCGGGAACTCAGATGTGCTGGGCCTGTAGTCTTTCAGAATCCTCCAGGGTATCCGGTAACCGCGACTGTGGTTCTGTGAGGTGGTGGCATTCCGGGTCAGCTTGGTGCAAGACTTTGCTGTTGCTCAGAAAGGTCGCTTCACCACGTCGCTGGGCGATTTTGCAGGGTGGATGGGTCATTGTGCTAGAGCTATGCAGTGGTTGGGGAAAGAAGCGACTCAAACCTTGTACCCAGTATGACATATTCTGGTTGTCACCAAAGGCGAAAATTGTGCCTCCCAATTCATCCTGAGACGACAGAAATCCAGCCCGGTTGTTGGGCGATGCCAGAGACCAAGGAGTGGTTCCAAAGTCAGTGACTACAAATACGACATGGCAGAGCAGCAGGACAGAGAGCATACAACCCTAACGAAGTCATTTTCGAGACTGAGAGAGGGGCGTAGCTGAGAACATCATAACGTGAGCAGTTGATGCCCCAAGCTTCCTTGGAGACGGGCATGCACCCTCATGGCAACGTTCCTGCATCCTCCAATAGAGTATATAGATCAGCTCCATGTACTGAAAGAGATCATTCTTGATAGAGTGTCCTTCTCTCATATTCTCGTACGAATCAGATGTGAATCATATGCGAGCTCAAGGACGAGAGCGTAGCTTTATCGCGCGATGTTGTGGTGAACGACATCCGTGACTTGAATGAGCGCCTCGGGTGGAGCAGTCAAGTCGACAAAGACTGGAGCCGGATCCGGTTGTGTTAGTGACTGTTAGTGTCCCTTACTGTCCCTGTGCAGTGGATTTCTTTGTGTTTGGTGCTGTTGAGCCAGTGGTGTGGCAGTTTGGTTGGTCCAGCAACTGTAATTCCCTGAGATTTGCACGAACGACCCAAAAGGTGGGTATTTATTGGTGTATAGCATGACCCATCCTGCTGCATCTCACAGTCATTCTTGAGGCTGTTGAAGATGAACGATCCCATCTGTCCAGATGCTCCTCGATTTGCATTTCTAGTTTGGAAAATCCGGGAAGCAGAACAACAACATTGACCAGAATGAACCACAACCCTGCCATACCCTGCCATACGCCCTGAGATGGCCAACGGGCCCAGGAGAATGTCCTGCTGATGGCCATCACCCTGGACAATGGTACTCGGATAGAGCGGCCCACAGCAGAGGACTGTTTTTGCGGAGATGCCATGGGCTAGTTTTGGGACAATTCTTGGAGAATTATATTGGAAAATGTACGTATGAAATCGTATGAAAACATAGAAAATCGGTTGAAAGTTGTGGAAAATCAGATGGCCACAGGACCTCAAGGTGTTGAAGCCAACGAAGCTGAGACCTGTGGTCTTCCATTGGAAGGATATGAGTGCCTGAGCAGGAACCACTTGGCCGCTGTGAGGTTTTCGGTTCGACATTTTGATAAAATTTTTAAATTCCCTTTGGAGCAAAGTCTAGAGTCTAGGGTAGCTTTGGTCCCCGAATCAGTTCTGCTGCGTATCCTTTTTTACATCCTTTTGTTCTCAATTTTCCAAGTGGAGATTGCATTTAAAGGATCTAAAGAGTCTTGGGACCCGCAGTGCGCAACACATCGCAGCAACACCATTTCTAGCAGTCACTCTCTGGGTCCAAGGCAAAGACCAGACCAACGCTCCAAAGGATTATGACGAGACGCTCAACCTCCAAGTGCAGTGCTGCATGAGTTCTGAATTCACTTATAGAACCATTTAGTCAACGGACAGCTAACAGCATGATCAAGGGTCATCTTCAGTTCTTGCATCTGAACGTGCTCATGATGAAAAAACCCGGCCTATTCTTCACGTCTTCTTAGAAGTGAGCCTTCATGTGGCAGGGGGGTTCTTTTGGGATTCATGATGATGCTGGTTCATGCATGCTATTGCATGCTCCTGCTTTGGGGAGGTCAACCATAGTCACGGTTCGCAAGGGCGTGGCATGGCGTGGCACTCCTTCAGTGTGTTTGCCAAGGATTATTCAGCGCTTGTTGAGCGCAAGCCCCACAGACATGGAGGAGCTGATTCGAGCAAACTGGTTCCTCTTCTATGGTTAGCGTGTAAGATCGTGTAAGGCTTGTGGAAATGTAAGCGCGGGGTACACTGAGTCAGGTTCAAGTGTAGTTCATATTTTAAATATTTTTTTATTCCCTTAGAGTCCAGAGTGTGCGAGAAAGTGGGCCCTATATTCGGCAGATCATTGATTGGCTCTCGTCCTTGTACCAATGGACCAAGGAAAATGTTTGACAAGGCCTTCTACTTTCGCTTGTACAATCTGCGGGACAGCTGGGTGGGCCGGTGGTGCTGGCTGCGTGATTGAAAACGCCATTTGGCCAAGTTGAGTAATTAAGAAAAAGTGTAAACTTATGTTGGGGAAATTGCCGCAAGGAGACCCTTTCAGACAAGCACATTGGCTACCAGCTGCTGTTTTGGCACATGAAAGCTGCAAGCTTCAACTGAAGATTGTTTTGTCTTTGCCACTTGCGTAATAAATTGTAAACAAAACAAATGATTCAAGACCTGAAGCAGGACCTGAAGTAGGACCTTAAATCGACAGAGGAGGAGTAGAGTACATAATAAGTATCACTGCAACATGAACGATTGTAGCTTTTAGTTTTGATGGACAATCACCGGAGTATGGACAGACATTGTGAATAAGCCATTCCCTTGCGTCTTGCAATGGTTGCCGCCGGCTCTCGCGGAGCTTCACGGGACAGCAGCAACTTCATCCCAGCTGTGGGAAACTTCAGCGTTCAGTACAATTTCACTTCGGCATCTGCAGCTGTCAGCTTTTTGAACGACCCAGGATGTTTGGCTGAAACTCTCCGGGCAGGTATCAATCCCACTAAAGCGGGCAGTCGTAAATCAGATATAAAATCATATGTATTTTAACATTATATTATATATATATATTATAAACATGATATACCCTCATCCTCTGTGAGCAGTATCCCCCTTCCGCGTCAACAGGATACTTGGGGCACTCACTCTTCACGGAGCCGAAATGGAGTAAAGATATGACCCCAGCAGCAGTTTTTGTTGGTGCGATGCTGGGCATGCTCCTCATGGGTCGCCTGGGTGACACCCTTGGAAGGACCAGAGCTTTGCAGGTGAGATTTTGCAAACAGTTTCTTAAGTTTCTTCCTCATTGCTGCTGGCTAGGCATGACGCATGACAGACGTGCAACAGTCTGCTCGCTATGTCACAGTGCTTCAGCCCTTTGGACCCTGTGATAGGTGACTTTGTCTCTCACAGTGCTGGGGGCACTGATCCCTGCGTGTGCTGCTGGCTCTAGCGACATAGTGACTCGGCCTGGGTATTGAAAGGAACAGACAGTTAATTTCCTTTGAGTATTGTACTACCTCTGCAAACATCTATCACGCTGACTTGGATTCAATGGCTGGTTGCTCTCTGCTCAGTATGTTCTTTCCTAGCTGTAGCTGGTGTGCGGCATCATGATTGCCAAAGCCATAGAGATATAGTTTGATGTGTCCAAAGACTTTGACGGATCACAAGGTTGCCGGTATATCACCTATTTCCATACAGTCTATACAAATCCTCTTGTGGGATCAGCAGACACCTAGGTCTATGGCACGGTCCTCTTCGGACGCTTGGTGCTAGGTGTTGGTGTTGGTGGTATTTATCCGCTCTCTGCGGTGTCATCTGCCGAAGGTTGCCATGAGGGGTCTGCGAAGGGCAAGCACGTGGCGCAGGCGTTCTTCTTCCAAACAGTGGGTCAAGTTGCTCCGTATTTGGTGGCCATGCTTCTGCTCGCCCTCTTTCAGCCATCAACTCCAGCTGCGTGGGTGCCACAACTTCAGTTTCGACTTCTCTTCGCTTTAGGCCAGCAGGAAACAGCTCTCCCCAAATCTGCATTGCTTCAATTTTGCTTCAGCTGATTCCAAGAAAGTCACAACGGCAGGATGACAGGATGATGACAAACCATCTTCTCTTATCTTCCTTTCACATTATCTTCGTTTTGCATCGTTTTGCAGCATTTGTATGCATTTTTCATGTTTTTTCCTGTGAGGTGCCATTCCGGCCCTTGTAGTGCTGCTCGCATCCCTCCAAGCAGAGGATTCGGAGGAGTTCCAGTCGCAGCATCTCTCCGCAACAGTTGGCTTCAAGCGTGGGGTGATGAAGACGCTGCTGGGCACCGCGGGAACGTGGTGTCTGTACGATTTGGCCTTCTATGGCACCACCATTTTTACTCCCACCATCTTGATGCGCATGTGCATTACAGGCAGGTAAGATTGGAAAAGCTGACCTCGGAATACATAATTACCCGAGCATACCCGAGCTTTAGGTTCTGTGAAGCAGTTTCGTCCCAAAAGACAAGGCATTTCCAGTGGTCAAATCATTTCACCACCCCTTAGATCCAACGAATTTCACCCAAACCTCCTTTGTCTCTTTGTGGCGAAGGTGAGGTGCACCCAGATGGCAAATGTTATCAAACACTGGCACAGACCTCGAAGCAGTCTGTTTCTGGGCATGCATTCTTTTAGCAATGAGTAATCTTGGAAACAGGCGCGGAATGTGTCACACACAGGCACACGCACACGCACACATGCACCAACCACCCAGTACTCTTTATCTGGTGATATAATACAAGGCTAAATTGACGTACATTCCTCAACACAGATTCAGCAAGATGTTGAACTCCTGGAGAGGGCGATGGAGAGAAGGAGATGCACAAGCTAACACAAACAGATCCCTGGCAGACGTAGAAAAGCGAGGGCAAGTGTGAGGTAGTTCGCTCTGCGACTGCCACCGAAACAGGAGAAGTCGGTACAACAGACACTTGCAGCGACAACAGCAGGGAATCTCGCCAAATGTGTTTCAATTCTGCATGTGAAAGAGACCCCAAGGAGAGTTCACGGATGTTCACAGTGCAAGTTCAAAACAGTTCTTATCCTTTGTTGCTGCTTGAACTTCTAGGCTTTGATCTCGGCCATGGGTATCCCTGGATGCTACGCTGCTGTGCTGCTGGCAGAGCGGATGGGTTGCAAACGTCTGAACACCTATGGTTTCCTGCTGCTGAGCGCAGCCTTTGCAGGGCAGGCCATTGCGTGGATGCTTGTACCTGAGGCTCACATTTTGCAATTTGCTCCTTGGTTCGTACTAAAATCACTGATCGACTGCGGATTCTGTGCAATTGGTTGCACGTTGCATTTTACCCATTGGCTCCGTAAAGCACCCTGTGTAAGCATTTAAGATGTTTGCGAGCAGTCACTCTTGGCTCATGACTGTTGAATGGCAATGCTTTTGTTGCATTTGATTGTGTTTCCCATTTTTCGCTCTGCCAAATCTCACGCTTAATGAGTCAAGAGCTAAGAGGTTCTATTTTGTATCCTCACTATGCTCCTGAACTTTGGTCCCAGCCTGGGCACCTATGTGCTCCCAGCGCTTTGTTTCCCGACTACAATACGCAGTACCTGTCACGGGCTCTCGAGCACTGGCGGGAAGATCGGTGCAGTGATTGGCACCCTGATTTTCGAGCCGATCAGCGATAGTGCGCTCAGCTGAACCGAACATTTTACATTTTTTCGTTCACATATTGATACATTATGTGATACATATGATTCATGATACATATGATACATGATGTCTTGCAATCTGTCTGCATGGCTCTCTATGGTTCTCTTCAGGTCCATTGGGCGTTCCTGGGGTACTTTGGCTTCAATGCATCACCTGTGTGCTTGGCGCGGTGGTTTCTACAGCCTATTTGAAACATGATTGGGAATACGAGCAATCGCCGGAAAACCATAGCTTCCGCCGCAGCCACATCTCAGGCTCGTTGGAAGTGGCATGGCCGGTGCAGGTAGACTGAGAGGATTTGATCTAAGTCACGATTTGGCCAGAGCCAAGCGCCGGGTTCACAGAAATGATGTGAACCTGCGTGGCCGTGGCTCATCAGAAGTCAGATTCTATGAGGGGAGAGCTTTCCCCGAAACCAGCCATATGTCGCAAACTGCTCCAAGGAAATCTGGAAGATCTTGGACCGGTGGAATGTCTTCAAGGCATTAGCTGGGACCTTCTAGAATTCACAAACTAGGTGAAGGTGGGGTTTCGAAGACATTCTGTCGTTTCCGCCTCGCCTGTGAAAACAAGGCTTGTAGTGGTGGAGGGAGCAAGATGACTCAACGTCTTCTCGTCTCTGTCAGTGTCATTCCCGCGGAACTCTGGTGGGTAGGTGGAGCTGCAAAGCTGGGTGACAAGTGATTTGGTTACCCTGCAGGCAACTGCAACCAGTTGACATGATTGATATCCACCATACATCACCATACTCTAGATCATCCTCAGGCATCTGCTCACTGACCAATCTGTGGCGGCAGGAAGACTGTGAGGACCCCATGCTGAAGCAGAAGATGCACAACTTAGAGAAGATGACCTTAGCTGCTTGGCTTCGTTCGCATAGGAGATGTTGGCGAAGACATGTTTCTTTGCATAGTTTTTTGGTAAAGCTTGTGTGCAAAGCAGGTGTTTACACAAGGGTCAAGGGTCTCATGGGCTGCCCATCACGTGGTATCCAGGGGCTTCCCAGGATTTGATGCAGAAGGCGCAGGAGCAAACCAGTGCTTCGTCTCAGCACAGCTGGGGAAGGTGTGGGAATTTGATTGGTCAAGAAAAGGAGCAGTTGTCTTCGTTGTCTTCAGAAATTGGATGGATCAGACTTGATCAGACCCGATTGTCATTTTGACTCCAGCCGAGATGCAACCGCTGAGGAAAGAAACTCCCAGAACATCAAGCAGACGCGCAAGCCATTTTGAACGCTTTGGTGGAGGCACAGCTTGCAAGCATTTTTGCTGACATATAAGACTCGGATCAAAGCTGATTGGATACCGATACAAAAATCTGATGGGACGCTTTATCTTGTTGTGAGTATCCGAGACTCAGGCTTGCTTTCCTAGCACACCAGCCACAACACACAACACAATCAAACACAATCAAACACAATCAAACACAATCAAACACAATCAAACACAATCAAACACAATCAAACACAATCAAACACAATCAAACACAAGCTCATTTTTGGGCGGTCAGTGCAAGCATTCGCAGGCACAGTTTCAGAAGATATCACGCTTGTCAGGAGGATGGTTCCACGCTCTTGTGGCCTCCGCCACCAGAAGCATACACCCGGCTGGCAGAGGCGTAGTTGGGAGGGTTCACTGCTCCATATCCACTCCTGTTTATGTCGAGAATTGAGAGCAGCATCTTATATATCATATATATATATATATGTATTATCAAATTTATCAAGATCATTGAGGTTTATTGACCTGACCGCGGTTATGTTGGGCACGGCTGCTGTGCAGCTTCCTCCTGAGAGCTGAGATGCCCGCCTCTGAGGAGGTTACCCTGAGAGCGACACGAAACAAGTACGAGGACGAGTGGGCGACAAGGGGTGACAGGGGCGTGACAAGGGCACGACAGGGGGCATGGCAAGGGGCCATAACAGGATGCGTGACTAGGGGCGTGACAGGGGCATCACAGCGGGCGTGATATGGTGCGTGACAGGATGTGTGACAGGGGGCAAGGGGGAGTGACAGAGGCGTGACAGGGGGCGTGACAGTGGGCATGACAGGGCGTGACAAGTGACATGGTGCTTAAGACTGACCTTTGAAGCTTTTGTATGTATGTATTGTATTGTATTTGTGTTGTGTTGCAATGTATTGGATGTATTGCATGTATTGCATGTATTGCATGTATTGCATGTATGCATGTATGCATGTATGCATGGCTGTATGCATGTATGCATGTATGCATGTATGCCTATATGCATGTATGCATGTAATGTATATAATGTAATGTCGTTGTAGTGTAGTGTAGTGTAATGTATTGCAATGCAATGATATGGTATGGTATGGTATGGTATGGTGTGGTATGCATGCATGCACACACACATATATATATACATACATGTATAGTGACTGATACATAAGCAGATCGAAACCCAACAAACTGAGTGTGCTTACTGCTGGAGGATGGTTGGTTCGAGGCAGTTTTGGAGGTCTGCGAGCGCTTCGGTGACAAGATGCAGGAGCCATTGCAAGGGTCTGGAAGTATGTGAAGACCTTAGGCAAAGATTTTGATGGTGTAAAATCGGCTTGAGAGACAAAGGTCCTAAGAGAAGGAACAGCACCAGCTCTCCTTTCGTACACTTCTTACACTAGTTACTGAATCTTGTGATCGGATAATGTGGATGTGAATAGGGCTGTTTGTCCCCTGCAATTTGCAAGCGACGTGCCAGAAGAAGTCGGAGAACGAGATGGCGGGCATGGCACAAATAGCCATGCAGCGGATCGTAACGGAATGGCTTCGCCACGACAGCCTTTGGGAGGCGAGAGATGTTGGGAGTGGGGAATAGTGAGGGCAGGCGAGCACAATATACAGCCAAAACCGATAGAGTCCGATAGAGATTCTAGAGATTCTAAAAGGTGCTTGAGCCACAGAGGCTCCTAGGACATGGTGGCTAGGGAGGCAGCGAGAGGATTGCGAACTTCAAGTGCGAAATGTTTGATGTTGGCAGTTAGGGCCTGCTCCAAAGGCTGTAGGGCCGTAGGGATGATGTACTCCAAATCTGTTTGGAGGATCCTTTGTTACCCATGCAGATGCCAGGAAACTGCAGAGGGTCGATTCCTGGGTCGACTGATGAGCATCTCCCATGAGCAGTGGCAAGAGCAGCAGCTCAACTCTGAATTATCATTTCTGTAACCAAGGGGTTTCTGCAAGAAATGCTAGCAGAGGCTCAAGGAAGACATGATACCACAAATGGATGGAAATAGACGGGCTGGATGAGTTGTTGACTACAGTAGCACACGTTTGGTCCATAGCAGCATTGCTTCTCAGAAAAACGCAGTGTAGCTTTGTGCCCCGAGGCTTTTCTACGAACAGGATCCATTGGATTCAGTTAAGCTTCGTGAAGAAATCAAGCATCTTGTCAAACGTTGGATCAGTGCTAGGTCACAATGGTGACAGCGTAGGATTGTGGATAGAAAACGGAGACAGTGAACAAGGGCGCAGCCACTGGGCTTGTGCATGCAACGTTGCGGGGGGAGGTTGAAAGAAATAGCCAATTTGCATTCATTTGCAATCATTTGATACTTTGCTCCATTTCACACTGTTTCAGGATTTACGGTTCAATATCCTTTCCATCGGGATTAGTTGATGAACTCCACAAAAAGTTGCCAACCAAACGTCTACATCTGACTTCCACCCGTTTCTGTGATGACATTGGGCTTCGGACGTGGCAGCACCAAGGATCATCAGCGAGACGCGAGCCACAGGCTAAGGATGGGGATGAGGAAAACAGTTGGATGCTGACTTTGTGGAAAGCAAAACTTATCATCAGGATTCCTCAAGACCTTCCGGTGATTTGCACACCTTCCTGCCAAAGGTTTCAATGTAAAAAGTTCAAACCACAGTTGGGTGGAGCCTTAGGTCATCGGTCTGCCTATGGGTAGCAAGCTGCAGATTTATGTGGCCAAGTACCTTCAGGCTTGACTTCTCCGGCCTAAAGATCCCTAGAGCCCCTGGCTGCCTGTTGTTCGGTGTTGTTCCGCTAGCTGCCTCGCCGCAACCAGGGGCTACTTCAGTTCATTGATGACAAGGATAAGTTGCTGGAGGAGATGAAGGATGGCGGAGCACCAGCAGAGGCTTGAACACGCAGCAACAGAAGACATAAAAAACATCACTCGATGCATCAAACTGATTGGTAGAGTCACCTGCAGGCTGCAAAGTGAAGCTTCAGCCGAAAAAAATGCAAAGGATATGCAAAGGGCACACTCAGTGGTGGTTGGAAACACCTTGCAGTGGAGGTAGGGAGATGCCTCTTAGATCCTCTTGGTGTATAGATTTCAGGGTGATTTCTGGCCACTGCTGCTGTCCTTTTTCGCGCGTGGCGGGGAGAAGCCAATAAGTAGCGATGAGATGCAAGGCATTGGCAGGGCTGATTCTTTTAATGTATGTTTTAATGATGGAGTAGCTGGTTTGGGGAGATCAGAAAGCTTGAAAAAGCATCAAAAAGCAAACATTTGACCAAGTACCACACCAATGGTTACTGGGTAGGGTCCTTCCATGTTGCCTCTTCCCCACGTAGACACCTGCTTGCCAGACTGGCACCTGGCTGCGACAGCAATTGTTCAAGGAAAGGATTGAACGATCAGGACAGTATGGTCAGAATGGTCTTATTAACTCACTTGTTGCTGCTGTTCGGCTCATTGTTCACTGCAGTTCACTCATGGGGAGAGAAGAAGCAAACACACAGAAAAAACATTTGCAGAAAGCCTGTCAAGGGCTTTCCAGGTGGTGGTCCTAAAACTTATCTTCAAAACTCTTTTGGCTGCCATTTGTTCAATTTTTGTTTTCAAAAAATGTTGTGTTGATTGTTCTTATTGTTCGTGCAGCGGAAACTTTTGTGGACAATTGATGCATGTCTATTGGAACATGGTCAGTTTTGCTGTCGCAAGGCCAGATCCCACATTCATGCACCTCTGCCCCTGTGTAGATAAATGGCCCTACTTGCTTGAAGAACTCTGTCTCACTTGGCAGGAAGCAAATGCGAAGATTGTAAGACGATGATCTGCACTTGATATATACTCGGTGCGTGTTTGAAATGGCTCGGGGTATCCATAGCAGGTAGTAGGGGCTCTAGTCTAAAGTCTAATCGGGTTACACGGTGAAGTCATATAATGTGGTTCGACTTGAGTTTCAATCGGGAATCCCTTCCTCCCCATGTCCGCACAACCGGTGAATTGGAGTGAAGTGTGCTTGAAAGGGCTGCGTTTTGGTCGGAGGTGCATGTGAATTGTGTCACCCCAAGTGCGGCGAAAGATTCCAAGATCAGGATATTAAGCAATATTATTGCAATATTGGTGTTCTGAGATTGCCAGCGCAAGCGCAGTCGAAGCATTGTTGGCAGCTGTTGGGCCATGTTGGGCCTCATTGTGATAGCCAGGATTTGGATCAACCTGCCAGGCCTCCGAGCCCTTAGGTGTCTTGACCGCCTGTGACAAGCGTTGGAAAAAGTCCGCCAACCCACTATAGATATATAGCCACGGAGGGAGATGGAAATGGATGAAAATGGATGAAAATGGATGAAAATGGATGAACATGGATGAAAATGGATGAAAATGGATGAAAATGGATGAACATGAGGCATTTTAATTCATATCACCTCTTTACACAACTGAAACGTATGGAGCGCCAGGTGTGGCCCTGTGCTGCCAGACCTGGAGTCGTTGCTAGCCACGTTCGAACCCACCTTGCGGCGATGGCAGCGCCTGCCCCGGGAGGTCTGACTCGTGAGTCGTGCGGGTCACGGCTGGGTCACGGTAATTTCAAAAATGATTCAATAACATTCCATAACATTCAAGAACCCGCTGCAACATCAATCACCAGCCCTTCAAATCCCTTCAATACAGTATTTTCAACAATTCAGTGAATTCAGTGAGCAGACACTGGCAGACACTTTTCTTTTGGGCAAACTGTCCCTCGGATGCAGCTTTTCGCTTGGGCTGGACTGGCTGGACCTGCTAGGAACAGGACTCAGATCCCTTCGCAAGCTGCTTGTTGGGCCCCTTCGAGCAGAGTGGGATGAAGTCAGGTGCCTTTTTGATCCTTTTTGATGATTGATTTTGCAGGATCTTGTATGTATGTTGGGACGCACACAATCGCACACACACACATGTCTATATATAATTATATATATATATATGTACGGTATATATGATTATATATGTACAGTATATGAATTTATGTACATTGAACATTCTTTGTTGGTTCTATGGTTCTATGTTCTTTTCAGGGCTAAGTCGAGAAAGATGACAAGACTTGTGAGGATGTCTGTCAGACGATGCACCAGCATCCAAGCACACAAGCCTTTCTTGGAGACTCCAAATGTAAGAGAGCAGGCAGACCCACCTCCTCATTATCAGCAATGGATTCAAAGCTGGTGACTATTTGCAAACGAATATTATCCTTGCTTTGTCCGTCTCTCATTGGCTTGTCCGCGAAGGCGCTGGTTCCTGCTTCTACTACGACCTTGAGCACCTTTGACCCAAGTTTTGCATCTCTACAGATGTGCAGTTAGAGATGTGTAATCATCCAATGCAGAACGCGTCTAAAGCAGCACATGCCCACCTGGCTGCCACGTCATGTTGAGCAAAGACTTCCACTTCAGACGGAATTGTGCCAAGGAATGAGCGCACTGTGTTCAGTGAGAATGGCCTGCAAGGGTTGCTCAGCTTATCTCAGCTTATGTCAGTGAACATGTCATGACTTTTTCTGGGCTCCACTGAGGCTCTTGGTGCTTTCTCTCCCAGCCCTCTCAGAACTGATGGAGGATGTAGAAGCTCAGGTCCAGCAGCAGAAACTCTGGGTTAGAAAGTGTCGGAAATCATATGAAATCATGAGTTCGAGGGGAATACTGTGCGGAAATTTGTACGGAATACTTGGTAGATTGTGGATCGGTCTGGATGGGTATACTTCGGCGGGTGGAGTGCATGAGGAAGCGCCACACTTCAAACATCCAGCGTACTGTCTAAGGACGAAATAGGGTTATTAATATTTATTAATTACGAAGCTGTATACTTAAATGCGAAGAAAGGAGATTTTTTCGAAAGTAAAAATAAGGCTTTCAAACATCAAGACCATGACGAAGGGAGGGAGTTTCACATTGAAGCAATGTGCAAGCAGACTTCTGATGTGAAATATGGCTAAGGCCAGCAACTGTTCTGTCAACTTATCTTCTACAGGATTGGAGAATCCCGGTGTCAGATGTCAGATGATTTTTGCCACATTTATGCCACATTCATGTGACTTGTCTCAACCTTCGGATCTTTCGGATCTTTCGGCACCTGGTGCGAGTCCCAAAGCCTGATCGAGCTGCGCATCCTGCGTGACCTCACAGTAGCGCGGAAGAACCGAGAGGCGACGGGACGATGGGACGATGGGACGATGGGACGATGGGAGACATGTGGAGACCAGACACCAGGCGGTTACAATATGTTAGAACTGTATAGAACTGTATAGAACTGTTGGAATATTTGAACATATTTGAAGCATCACCTAAAGTGTTCACTGTTTCAACATGTTTCAACTGCCCAGCTCCAGAAAGGTTTTTTTCATTGTCATGGTATGTGATAGCCATTTATATATATATATTCATATGATGAGTATGATATTTCATGATCATGATTATTCATCCGCCATCCATGATTTTTCTGATGGATTGAGCCGCCACTGCGCTGCAGGTGCGTGCCAGGGTCGAGAAGCAACGACACATGGGACGGCGAAGCTTGCGGCATCGAGTTCAGCGGCGCCTGAAGGAACCGAGGGAACCATCAGGGAGGAGTAGCCCTGCCCAAATATACCCACAAATGTCATAAATGTCATATAATACATATAAATACAGACTTAACATCGCTCAATGAAAGGCGGTGTACTTGTATGATCTAATTTTACTTATTTTTCATTTAGATAGGATACAGTACCATGGTATATAAATGTACAAATATCGGGAAATGACGGCACTTTCGTAGTGTATACTGTGTATACTGGCTGACGCAGGGTGGAGAGGTGATGCCAAAATCAGAGACCCAAACAGGACGACTCAAAGCGCTTTGGCACCAATCTGGTGGGACTCTTCAACCAGATGCTTTGCTTCAACAGTCCAGGTCCTGGAGGCTGAATCAACAAGCGATTGGTGTTTTCAAGTGGGAGAATCTTTTAAAAATTAAAACACATGATATCTTTTTCAATATTTTTCAGCATCAACAGTTTTTTTGTCTATCAAGAATGCATCAAACAGTTTTATGCTTCCAGAGCATGGACAAGACAGTGTTGCACCATGTTGCACCTACGTGCTCAGCAATCTCAGCCGCCCGTGACACCAAGGAAGAGGCCGGTCAAGCATGGCCAGAGCTGGTCACCGATCCCCGCAGAAAACCCAGGCTACTTAGCACCTTTGGTTTTGAAGATGTTTGATGATGTTTGAACGATTCAAACGACTTTCAGACTTTCTGGATCTTTCTGGTATCCAGTAGCTGGTGATTTCAGCTATATAACTTCCCCATGTTGGAAAGCCTGTGGGCCCAGCCCTGCCAGATGATCATGATGGACCGGCGGAGGTGGAAGCACAGGAGCGGTGAAAGAGACCATGTGCTCAAGAACAGACATGAGATTCCCATCGCCCGTGGTGAATCTTGGTGATAGGATGATCATTTCATATCAGTTTGTTACAGTTTGTTTATGTTTGTTTGCTTTCTGCAGTGTCTTTGGTGAGCAAATCCAGGATCCAACCATCCGCGCTGTCGCTGGCAAGCATGCGCGTGACTTCGTGCCGGAGAGATTGCCATGGCAAATCTTGTGCCGATTGACACGTGTTTGTCAAATCACGTGGTTTATGTTTCTTGTCTGCAAATGCCTGCAACGTTTCCGAGTTCACGATGTTCACGTGGAATGAACTATTTAGCCCTCTATCTCAAGGATTGAGGCATGCTTTTTCCACGCCTCGGACCTTGACCTTGTGATATCTTGTGATATCCTAGGTGTGGCTTCATGACCTTGCTGAAAGAGCTGGGCATCCTGCAGGTGCCCACCACTTTGCCTTGTGGAGTTTAGGGCGCCGTGCAAAAAGCAATGCAAAAAGCCATGGAAAGTTATGGAAAGTCATGGGGCATCACATGCGCCATATGCAGGTGGACTTTCAGCGCCAGCGTCCAAAGGGAAGGCAACTTCACGTGGCAGCTTTGCAGCTGGAGGAGCTGAGCCAGAAGCGGTGGAGATTTCAATATGTCATGTCGATAGGATGCCGACGGATGTCGTTTGTTCTCGGGTTTGGTGCCAGGATTTCTCAAACTTATTCGTAGATTGACACAGTGCACTTTGCGGAGTCTTCGAGTGTATATGTAATTATACCTACGCAAAGCTTCGAGTGGCCACAGGAGCTCCCAGTAGAATGGCCCAATGGTACTTTCTTCATCCCTGCACCTTGGTGTGCAAGTGGCGCAAACAAAGGCCCCCCTGCAAAAAGGGATGGAATCCGGATGGAACTGACTTGACATTTTGACATGCTAGCGGCTGCTAGCGGCTAGCGCACAAACCGCACAAACTCATGCGCATAGACCGCATAGACGAATATAGACGGTATGGTAGAGGCCTGGTATCAGCTTGCATCCAAGTGAGGATGGTTTGGCATCCTGCAACACTGACGTGGTGGTCTCGAGTGCTCTCGGCCTCTTCCTGGCTGCAACGCCGCCAATGAGGGAGGAGCGCATCATAGCATGGCTGATGATGATTGATGATTGATAAATTGAGAGGCACAGTGCTTTGCATCAGAAAATGAATCCCGCATAATCCCGCTATGTCCGCCATGTGGCACTGCCTGAAAAAGATTCAGATTGCCATCGCTTTCCAGGAACCATTCCGTTTGGCGCCTTTGGTTCCGTCACCTAGGGCTTCACCCACAGTCTCCACTGCGTTGGGGCAAGGTTGGCAAATCGTGGATGGTGCTGTCTGGGCCGAAGGATGCGCTATAGCCGCTATGGCTCCTTCAATTCTTGTGAATGTTTGTGAAGGTTTGCCTTTGTGCAGCTCGACATTTTATGATATTTTATGATATTTTATGTATCAATAGGTCCTGGTGGCATTTCCCCCAGATTCTACACACCTCCACATGTTCAGCTGATTAGCTGCACTAAAGCTCTTCTTGATCTGTTACGACATACAATGTCGCTTTCACTTGTTGCATTTGCATGCGCTTTCGGTTGTTTGATTTGTTTGGCATCAACAGGGCTATGTTTGTTTTGAGCCCAGCTCACCCAGCTCAGCGCAGATGACGACCTTGTTCTGCTTGGCATCGGTGATGGGATGCTGAACTATTGGGAGCTCAGGCAGCTTCAACAAGGCCACCTGATTTTCTGATCGTTGTAATTTCAATGCTAGGTCCGCCTGTGTTTGAAGTTCATCTTGTCCGTTGCAACTTCTGCGACGAAGCCATGAAAGGCTCCCCTCCCAGCCGCCTCTCTGTGGATGGCCGGGGCCGTAAGCTGATGGCTATAGTATGCTATAGTACCATAAAGTACCGCTATGCCAGCCCGCTGAAGATATCTGAAGACGCCAAAATATTCAGACACTTGTACCATCTTGTACCCTTGGTACCCCTTTGTAATCACACTAGCACCAGCCTAACTTGACCATGCCGCCTAGCGGGCGCGCCATTGTCACACTGATGAGGATAGACAAGCCTTGTCATATTCCAATCAAATCCAATTATATAGAGGTAGTCAAATCCAATCAAATCCAGTCAATACTTCAAGGAAACTACAGTACTATAGTCCAACAGGAGTGGATCTTAAGGCCAAAGGTTCCAGCGGTGTGCAGCTGAGCTCCGCGGTAGCCATGTTGGCTCAAGCGGCAGCTTCCCGGTCAGAACTTTCGTTCACCGGGCGCGACAGGCCAAAGGGATCCAAAGGGGAAATCCTGGTTGGATGCTGTGGGCTGGCGAGCTTGCGTGTCTTACGGTGTCTTACATCGTTCCTTCCCTGAAGCTTGCTAGATTTGCTAGGTAGAAACTCGTCGGATACAGGATGCATATGGATGCATATCACTTGACTTCTAGACCATTTTGGCATGTCTTGCTCGTTGGCTTCGGACGTTCCACTTCCAAACTTCACATCATGGAGGTGGATACCAGGTCAGGTGAAGGCATTCAGCCGGAGTTGTTTGATGCCAGGTGAGTCAAGAAAGGCATGGGAAAAGGAGGCCCGGTGGCAGGGACACACCATTGGCTTCAAGATTCACTCGGTCAGCCCATCGAAGGAAGTGGGAGCCTGAAAACATATGCGCAGTTTGAATGACCGAACTGATTGCACGATTGTCGGTGCATTTCGGGCATTGCGGCATTCTGTCGGTCTCTGGTTCAGAAACTTCCAGCTTCCAGCTCGTGTGCGTGTGAGTCATGTGCTTGAACAGGAGGCAAGAAAGGCAAAGATAAGGGCAAAGGGAAGGGCAAAAGGTGGCTCGCCAAAACTGCTCATCAGCCCAGTCCTAGAAAGCCTCCCGCTTTATATCCGAAGGAATTCCGAAGGTGTTCCTAAAGTGCCTCCCACATCTCCCACATCTCCCACATCTCCCACCACCGGAGCCAGAATGTTGAGACGGAGTCAAGTGTCAGCCCAGTGTCAGCTGACTTCAGGTCCTTCGAACCAGAAGGTCCTCCAGACGAAATCGAAGAAATCGGCGAAGCCCTGCATACTTGTGAAGACCAACTGGTGGTAAGCTCGGAGAAGGTCGACGCGAGAATCTACAAATGTTGGAGCAAAATGAAGAGTGGTCATGTTTCTATACCGTGGTCGATACTGGATTGATTACCGAGGAATGTAGGCATTCTGGGCTAGATGGAGTTGGCCTGAGGTCTGCAAGTGCACCAATGAACGGGTGCCCCAGTTCAATGCTCGACTGTTCTTGGAGAACAAGGAGCAGATTGGCAAAGTGGACGTATTTCAGCTTGAATGGCGGTCAGTTTCTTTTTCATCAATGGCTTGTGGCCGTGGTGCAAAAGCAACATGGTATGATAAAATATGAATGTATGATACAATGATACAAGGTCGTCCTCGAACTTTCCCAGACATCTTAGTGTACTGTAGATGGGGTGTTTTGTGCAATAGAACTACTAAGAAGTTGAGAGGAAGAGGAATCGGGAAGAGGAGGAAGAGGAGTAAGAAGAGGAAGAGAAAGAGGCTGGCAGTAGGAAGAGGGCCAACAACGAGAGTAGCAAGTATATAAGAAGAGAAATGAAGAGAAGAGAAGGGTTCCATAGGGTTCCAAATTTTTGGCGCTAGCACGCCCTTTGGCTGGAGCCAAGCCTTTGATTCATGCTGAGGACGTCTTTGGTCCCATGAACGCCTTTTACTTCTCCGTGAAACTTGAAGAAGGAATGCAGGTGGCTGGACAGATCTGGACAGTCTGTTTTGAATGTGCTTCTTCGCAACTTTGGCAACTTGTGCCTAAGTGGCGCATGGTTTTTGAGATGATTGCTCAGAGATAGATGGGACACCCAAATTTTGGCCTGAAACCACTCTGCAGCAGGCTGGGTCCTTCAAGTCGGGGGAAAAGTTCTTCATTGACACGATGCAGCTGGGCAAAATCTGGTTCAACGTCGTTCAGCCAAATTCGGAGGCGTGTTGAGCAGTGCTGATGCCAGATGAGTGAAAGAGGCAAAGGAATGCAAAGGATGCCATTTAGTGATATTTAGTGACCAGCAACGCAGCTTCCAGTGCAGCCTAGGAAGCTACTACCCATGTCACGATTCCTTCCGCAGCCGCCGAAGGGCGGCGGCAAAGGTGGGAAAGGCGGAAAGGGCGGCAAAGGTGGCAAAGGAGGCGCGGAATCTCAGAGCTTCGATATCTTTGATGACGATGGGCTTCGGAAGTGCAGCTGGAATTTTTCAGAGTGCCTGAACATAACACATTATCTGACCCGTACTCTAGACTAGATTTCTTCGTCAGGGTGTGAAGATGACGGATGGATCAGATGGGGGCATTTTTCCCTTCCATTAACGGCAGCTGTCGCGTTGATGCAGGTGGCAAAAAAGGCGGAGGAAAAGGATTCTTGACAGTCATAAAGACGATGCCCAGACCAGTTTGTTTTGACATGTTTATTTATTATATAATCGGTAATCGTATTTTCTGATGATGTGTTGGCTAGGCTCAGATAGCCCGGACTGGATCCTTGAACACCTCAATTCGGGAGAAATCAGTGTTACAGGATGTGACCGGTCCATTCGATTGCATTCCTGCACTTGGACAGCCTGCTTTCAACAAAAGCACTCGTGCCAAAGGAAAAGGGAAAGTGAAAGGTAAGAGCAAGGACAAGGGCGGAGGTTCCAGCTTCTAGAATTTCATGGAAGAGCTTCTGGAAGAAGTTGCAGAGTTGCAGCTGTGGGTGGCTTTCTTGAACACTGATAGAACTTGCACGTCAATTACAAAGTGTTGTGCGAGAATCCTGGTATCTTAGTGCAATTGATATCAATTGATTCTGTCAGATCTTGACACATACTGTAGATATCTGTAGATGATGGCAGCTGTCACTTGGCAACTTGGTGCTGCACCCCTGTTGCCTTGTTCTTGTAGGTGGCAAAGGCGGTGGCGGCCGTGGCCGGGGTTGAGGACGCGGTGGGTGGCTTTGAAGGCAAAGGCCTTCGATCATCTAAATCTAGAGTATCACCATGATATTTACAATTATTTACATCTATTTCCACACGCACATTATATATTATATATATATATTATATTATATATATATATATATTATATTATATATATATTACATATATATATATTTATATTTCCCACTGCACCAACAGAAATCAAGAAGCCATGAATGATTTTGACACCATTCTGTCCGTCGCCTTGCGATTGATCGTCGCCTCCAATTCTTTGGAGGAGATGCCCTTCCTTGCGATAGTTCTCACCCCGTTTTCACCACAGCAATTGGAGAGGCTGGGACAGTCATATGTATGCCATATGTGAAGACCATTGAACACCTATGTTTAGCTAAAGTTTAGCTTCAGGTGTTTAGCTGGTTTGTCTTGTCGGAGTTGGCCAAACCACGCAGTTCTTGGATCCTATATTATATATTATATATTTGATTTTGTCTCTCATTCATTCTCATTCCATATGATACGTGCTGCAGTGCTTTGTGAAGGTGCACCGGTCTATGAGAGTCAAAACTTCTCACATGTTGTATCCCGGGATCGATTCTCATATCTCGTTGCCTCATCGCTTCGCGGCATGCCAGGTGGCAAAGTGAGCGATGCACAGCTGTCGATGTTCGCAGCAAATTTAAACAACTCAGCAACACCCGCCATTACTGAAACACTGCTGCAAGAGGTCTTATGATGCGAAGGCAAAGAATTGCAAACCTACAGACAAGTTCCAATTTCCCGAAAACTCGCTCCAGTTGAACCAACATTAGGTTTTGATAATTAGCCATCCTCTCCTGGTGTGCTCCTCTTGTACATTGAAGAAACAAGTCTTCTGGATTGCTAATCCCCACGCATGCTGGGAATGTCATAGTCACCAGTCATAGCAAGTGCCCATGAAAGGACATCAAAGGGGAAGCGACAGATTCGCAAATCAATCCACAGAGGCGCTGTGCTAGCGCAGACAGCAACGGGCGCTCGGCAGAATGATTTCATTTTAATTCTGCACAGATGACCGGAGAGAAAGATGTGGGGGAGGCCATGGGCGACCTGGTTACGACATGTTACGACTCACAACGGTTGGCTTGTGAGCCATTATATGGAACGGATTCGATCTTGTTGCTAGTACTACTAAATGACCTCGTTTGCGTTGGCAAGCTGTACTTCTACCCGAAGAGGCTTATATTATAAATGTATATATATATATATATATGTGCACGCGCATACTAAGTACTGTAGGTGTATTCTTCATATTTGGATCGAACCAAACCTTCCTTGGCAAAGTGTTGCGGTGCTTCCTGGCTCCGGAACGAAGACATCGCTGAAACCTGCGACAAAGATGGCGCACGGTAATTCAATTGAACGCGTTTGTGCAGCTGATGTCGTTTTTGTTTGACTCAGAACATGCCGGATACCCATTCGGGATTGTCTACTGCACTCAAGATGTGTGAGTGCTCCATAATTCTGGCAAGACTCAATGGCAATGCAGTCTAAAGCGAGCATACTTTACTGATCTTTGCTGCCAATAAATCATTTTTGAAGAAAGACTGAGTTGCAGCCCTAGCCATTTATTTAAATTGTTCTGCAAGCAACTAGGACTAGGACGAAGAAATGCTAAGAACAGCAAGATACGACGAGTAGGTGCAGACATGTGCAGACTATTGATGCCAAGCCAATCACGAAAGCTTTGCATCGCTCGACATTCGGATGCCACTGCTTCCCAGCCTTGGGGATGGCCGATCCAAATGACGGGCGTGCCACTGCTGTTTCTCTTCCTTCACCTTGCTGCCACTTCAAACAGCCCAGATGAATCCAGGCCTTGCAGTTTGCGTTTCAGGTATGTTTCAGATAGTGCCACCTGGCACCAGTCGCTTTTGCCTTCAACCTTCCGTCATTTTCCAAGGAACAAAAGAGAGGAGACCACTGAAAGGTTTGGTTCAATTTACTTTTCCAGCTTTTCACTGTCCCTGTTAAAAGCAAGGAATGAAGACAAGGGGCTTTTGTTGCATGTCGGCAGGTATTTGCGCTTTGATCGCACAAAAGTATCGAGTCGCCCGGGTGGGCGACGTCTCAATGAGGACCCACTGTCTTCGGCAATCGCAGTAGCGCAGCAGGCTTTGTGAACTGTCGAAGTGAACCTCTAGCAATCATCTATTCATTTTTTTTGGGCAACAGTCAAGTAAATTGAACTTTGCAGGTGAACAATTCTGTTGCCTTCTTTTTGATTTTTGCCAGCAGTGTGGCTTGACAGGTCAGTTTTGGGTGGATAGGTGACCACTGGCAGTCTGGAGGGCAATCTCGCACTTTTGCCTCAGGACAGGCTCTGGGAGCCAATTCGCGTCCACATGGACACCAGCGCTTTGGAAACCCAGATAGCTAGTCCTGCACAGATCTTACCTTCAGGATGATGTTTTGCCACTCAGCTTCATCCCAGGCCCCCAGGTGTCATTGTTCCCCTTGTGAATGCGCAGACGCCGAAACATGTAGTAAGTATAGTTGTCCCAGTGTTTTTTTCTTTTTCTGGGGTCGTTCTGCGTATACCCAGCTGTCTACACGCTAAGCACCCAAAAGAATAGAATCAGTAGGTTTCTCCTTTTCTATCTTTTTAGCGCTGCTATAGAGTTTTAGTCAGTGACACACGGCATGAATTACAGGGAGCCTCCATTGGAGTGCATGTAGATCCCTGAGGCCGGCAGCTGGTAGGTGGCTCTCCAAAGTGGTGCGGGTGCTGCCGGTCATGGGCAACCTGAAGCTTGAGCAGTGAACTGGGCCGCACTTGGGTGAGAAGGGGTGAATGCTGGGCAGCATTGAACGCGGTTGCAACCCTGAGGCATTGCAACTGGGTTTCCACCGTCACTAAGCAGTGCATGAGCGTCGCACCAAACTTTCAGGAGCCTCAGCCATACCATTGGGCTAGCGGCTAGAGCACGCTGCTTACTTTGCAGTGTTCCTGCAGGAGTGCGGTACGACGACAATACCACGGGAGCACTTCGCCGACAAGGACGGGTTATTTGTTGAGGCATTGGTTTGACTTGTGTAGCAACACACGAGTCAATTTGCGGCATTTGGGTGCGTTTTGCAGGAGTATTTCCCCCATGGAAAGCTTGGAGGCAGGGATCAAACTGACGCAGAGACGTGGGAAGCCTTGATCTCTGAGACACGCTTTTGAAGTCAAACTTTTGATTCAGACTATTGGAAGATGAAAGAAGAGACAGAGCCAGCCTGAGCCAGCAGATCAAATTTGTCTTCGCATCAATCTTCAGGCTGTGAGACATCACGCGGTGGCAGTGGAATTCCCAATGCGGATCTTGTGATATACATTACAGCCCTGCAAGACCAGTTCTGTGCTGGCAGTACCGTGCCTTGCTTACAATTCAGTACAATTCAAGAGCTTCTTTGGATTTCATTGGTCGGGTGGTGGCAAGTGGCAGCTGCAAGTGGGGTTCCTGGGTCGCATTTTTTCGCACCGTACGCGCCTGCAGGTAGCTTATGCAAGTGTTTGTCGACAGGCAGAGGATGACCGGCCTGTAGCAGGTGAGGAATTGAATTGAGGCAGTGTTTGTCAAATTTGTCAAGCAATTCGTCATAATTCGTCATCACTAGCAGTGCGAAACTGCGAAAGAGCGACAGGACATGCGTCGCGGAAAGGCTTCATGCAGAACATAAGAAAGTAATAGAAAGTACTTATGTATACTTATGTAACTTGTGTAACTATGTGACATAAGATGACATAAATATTCTCCATACTCTCCGGGTCTCGAGTCTAGGATTCCTTGATGTGGCCGGATGTGGTTGCAGGCTATTTGAACTTTTGCCTTGGGCGCTTGGCAGAGACGCGGCAGTGGCATCAGGATGTCGCTGTAGCGCTTCATGAGATTCTGTTTCTCGGTGATGTGGCAACCTTTGCACAGTTGCGATGCTGCGACGTCAAGAATTGTATTCTCATCAGGTCACAGTCTTCACAGTCGCTGTTAGCTCCTAGCTGGTTTGTTGATGTGTCAGAGATGAAGTACAATGATACATCCAGGCACTCCATGGCATTTTCCTCTTCGCTCTTCCCCTACTTCCGTGATGCCGATGGGCAACCGCTAACCGCTAGAGACGAATGGGGTCATCCGCCCTTGAAGGCGGGCAGCTCAGGGGCAGCGGTTCAACCAGGTGCCTCGGGGCCTCATGAAATTCGCTCAAGTCTCATCATTTGGATATTGGTCAGAAATAATGGACCCCGGTTCGCATAATACTCAACATGAGCTCTTTGGATCAATTTGGTGGGTCCGTTGGTACGTCATTCTTGGCCCGGCCCATACACCATTTCATCCCATTTCTGTTGTGTTCGAAGTTCTATGCACATCAGTGTCACATCAGTTACATTAAGCATGGCACCGGCACAAGTCAAGTCGCATTGGGCAGCACCACTTGAGCACCAGGCTAGTAGTTCGACGGTTCGAGAGGACCGATTTAATGTGGAGCGGCAGTTGGTGAATGGATGGGAATCACCCAAGAAAACATCAGAAAACCATGTCCTGCTGCGATTTTCAATGCGTGCTGTTTAAAAGACTGACAAGGCCGGTATGGACCGACGTGGGGCTCAGCTGTCGCAGGAGATTGTGGATGGCCAACTGCGCCACTTCTTGGTTTTACCCAAGGTATTGCTCCTTGGCTAAGCGCTCGTTGCTGTTTCCAGCTTGGGGTCGGACGATAAGTATATGATAAATTATGATGATATTTGTTGTTTATTTATTATCATGTACTGTATTTATGTGATTTTATGTGTACGTATATGATGTATACGTATATATATATAATATAATTATATATATATATATATATGAAATTATATATATATATATACATATATGTTTTTTTGTTTGCGTGAATCTTCCTGTGGCAGTTGGTTGGAGTCTCGAGGTGGCATCCTGGCATTGTGATGTATTTTGTGTAGGCAGCACCCTTGCCACACAGTGGGTAGGCTGAAGCATTTCTTCCTAGGCAAGCTGCGCAACACTACTTTGCCTGTGACACTCTCGATGGTGCGGGGCTTGTGGGGGGTGCCAAGCGGATCAAAGTTCCCCACAAGGTATGATTTGGAATTTGGACTTCTCTGAAATTGCTGCAATGCATTGCTTAGTGAGGCTTCGTTTGATTCATGCACTTGCACCGGTTGATGAGTTCAGACTGGGAAGAAAGGCATCCCGATGGAAGAGCAGGGCGGCGATGGCACGGCTTTTTCCCATTGGGACGCACGGATTATGCATACCGAGGTGCATCCCATGTGGATTGATGTGGGTTGGGGATGTGAACACCGGGACTTGGGGGCCCATGGTTGGGCGGTGGGGCCATGGCCTGGCGAGGTGATGTCACCAGAGAGCAGCAGCATTCCGCGGATCTCAGATCTCACTCTGGCGCTCTTGGAGGCCTGGCTTAGCTTGGCTTGGACTCATTGGATGCAGACGAGATGGCAGTCCTCAAGTATGTGAAAGTCAGAACCAGCCAGGACAGCGGCTGGTATAAGGTACATGGAGGAGCCTCGTCGAAAGGCTGGATGGGCTGGCACTGGAGTCTTCAAATGCTTGGATCATTGCCACCCTGATCATGCTATCCCTACAGTGTGTATTTGGATGTATTTGGCAATACTTCAATACACTCTGTCAGAGTGAGGAGTAGCATCCTGAGACGTCCTTAGACCATCTTAGACCTCTTTGGGTGCTCAGACCAGACTCTTGATTGAAAAACGAGAAGGGTGTTTGCTCATCAATAACATTCAATAACAGCTTGTTTACAGCTTTCCCTTTGACTGAGCAAGCATTGCAGATGGCGATAGTGCTGCTGGGGCCTTCTTCTTTGGGCAGAACAAGGGGTGCAGCAGCTTGACAACATGGATTGACAGTGCCAGGCTGGTCCTGAAATGAGGCCTTCGCAATCATGTAGCCGTCACAGAGTTGGATTTGCCCCGCCTAAGGCTTTGTTCATGGCAAGTGCATCGTGGCTACTTTGGTTGCAGATGTCGTTCCTTTGACCTGTGGGGATGGTGCTCATATCTTGCGCAAGGCACCTGCACACCAGCCTCATCTCTGGCTTTTTGCTAAACATGATCTCCATATGATTACCTTGAATGATCAGCGGATGAGCGGATTAGCGCGACTCAGGACCAGCAGAGCGCATTCCCTGACACCTTTTGCACGGAGAACCAGGGGAGCTGCTCGAGTGTGTGGGCAGGAGACTTGCGTAGGGGATGCGCTTCTAAGAGGATGTGCAGACTCAAGAGTTGTAGTGTGAATTTCCCAGGCAGCGTTTCTATAAACGTGGCTGTCCCTAGTCCCTAGTCTACGCACTGGTATATATATATAGAATATAGATGGATAATGGACGGACATATTTGATTTGATTTGATTTGATTAGATTATATAGATTAGATAGGGAGACAGACACACACACACACATGCACACTATCTACTGTATCTATCTATCTGTCCGTCTGTCTGTCTATCTATCTATCTAATCTAATCTAATCTAATGTAATGTAATGTAATGTAATCCAATCTAATCTAATCCAATCTAATCTATCTTATCTTATCTATCTACTCTACTCTACTCTACTCTGATCTAATCTAATCTATCTTATCTTATCTTATCTTATATTATCTTATCCTATCTTATCTTATCTTAATCTTATCTTAATCTAATCTAATCTAATCTAATCCAATCGAATCTAATCTAAATCTAATCTAATCTAATCTAATCTAGTCTAATCTAATCTAATCTAATCTATATCATCTATCCATCTATCCATTTATCTATCCATTTATCTATCTATTTATCTATTTATCTATCTATTTATCTATCTATTTATCTATCTATCTATCCATCTATCCATCTTTCCATCTATCCATCTATCCATCTATGAATCTATGCATCTATGCATCTATCCATCTATCCATCTATCGATCTATCGATCTATCGATCTATCGATCTATCGATCTATCTGTCTATCTGTCTATCTGTCTATCTGTCTATCTGTCTATCTGTCTATCTGTCTATCTGTCTATCTGTCTATCTGTCTGTCTGTCTATCTGTCTATCTGTCTATCTGTCTATCTGTCTATCTGTCTATCTGTCTATCTGTCTATCTATCTATCTAGCTATCTATCTATCTAGCTATCTATCTATCTATTCTATTCTTATTCTTATTCTTATTCTTTTTCTTATTCTTATTCTTATTCTTATTCTATTCTATTCAATTCTATTTTCTAATTCTAATTCTATTTCTATTCTATTTCTATTCTATTCTATTTTTTTTCTATTCTATTCTATTCTGTTCTAATCTGTCTAATCTGTCTAATCTGTCTAATCTGTCTAATCTGTCTAATCTGTCTAATCTGTCTAATCTGTCTAATCTGTCTAATCTGTCTAATCTGTCTAGTCTGTCTAGTCTGTCTAGTCTGTCTAGTCTGTCTAGTCTGTCTAATCTGTCTAATCTGTCTAATCTGTCTAATCTGTCTAATCTGTCTAATCTGTCTAATCTGTCTAATCTGTCTAATCTGTCTAGTCTGTCTAGTCTGTCTAGTCTGTCTAGTCTGTCTAGTCTGTCTAGTCTGTCTAATCTGTCTAATCTGTCTAATCTGTCTAATCTGTCTAATCTGTCTAATCTGTCTAGTCTGTCTAGTCTGTCTAGTCTGTCTAGTCTGTCTAGTCTGTCTAATCTGTCTAATCTGTCTAATCTGTCTAATCTGTCTAATCTGTCTAGTCTGTCTAGTCTGTCTAGTCTGTCTAGTCTGTCTAATCTGTCTAATCTGTCTAATCTGTCTAATCTGTCTATCTGTCTATCTGTCTATCTGTCTATCTGTCTATCTGTCTATCTATCTATCTGTCTACCTATCTATCCATCCATCCATCCATCCATCTATCTATGGCCGGACCGATTGGATGGAATCGAAGGGATTAGGATAAGGTAGGAGATGCCGTAGTTCGTTCTTACAAACATGGAAAGGGGCAAATTTTTGATCAAGAAGTGCGCAGGTGGTGGTACTTACTGTAGTCAAGGTGAGACTGGGAAGTCTCAGCCGGCCTTCTGAGTCTGGACATTTCACTCCATGAAAAAGTGGCCCCGAAGTCGGACCCACATCAGCCGTACGGATGCAATGCTCAGCCAACTGCCATTCCCCCAGGTGGGTAGCCCGATGTAGTCCGGCTTTAAAATCCGTGCAGCGTGCAGGATCTCGAAGCTGCTCTCACGACCACATGTCCGTTGGCCTGTGCACAAACTGTCTCCACACTGAGAACCTGCCTGCTGCATACCAGCACTTTGGAAACCCAAGGCCCCTCGGAACAAATTTCCGATATGTTGCAGGGGATAATTGCTGTTGCGATATCTAGCAGAGGTAAAACATGGTAAAACCGATTCTACATTCCAGACCGAGTTGCCCAAAAATCGAGGGAAGGAGCATTTGTGAAGGGCTGGCATCAAGGTAAGAACAAATATATCCCTCTTGGATGCTCGCCCTCTGTATACCCCAGGCTTGTTCAATTCTTGCGTTGGAATATCCTTTCTTCGCACAATTTTCGATAAAGTACCTGCACTGCAGATCACTGTAGGAGGATTGCAAGTGTGAGATACTTGCACCTGTTGTGGCATGTTTGGGTGCAAAAGGCTCGGTGGCTTCGCCCGCTACGCAACTTGGACGCAGGTCTAAGAAATGAATGTGGCGAGTGCCCATCGATGGTCATGGCTGGCATGTATGCAGAAGCTGGCTCACCAAAAACTCCATGCTCTGCTCGGGATCATTGCTTATCACGCCTATCAGCTTCCATCAGCTTCCTACCTTGATGAGGAGTGATGGCAGTAAGAACTCCAACCCAACAAGATAGCTTCATCAATCGGTTTTTATTCAATCGTATCATCAGCCAGGGTTGCAAAAATTCAGACACTTACTACATTACCACGTCTCTGCACATCTAACCCTGCTTGCTTTAGGTTGGCTACTGCCCTACTGTGGAGCCATTCTGGTTCTGTAAGGAGAGGGGTTGCCCATCACGTCTTGGAAAGGTGATGCAGAGAGTACTGAGCTTCCTGAGTGGAGCGCATGTTTCCTGCTTTACTGATGGAACCTGATTTTACAGGAGAGCACTGCCTACACGCAAATCGCTTCATATCGAGACTCAGCTCGAAATGAGACACAGAAAGGATCTGGAACTTGGGCTATTTGCTACCACGTCCGATGCACCATGTAGAAAGTGCCAACAGCTGCTAGCGGCTAGTTTTCATGGGAAACTCAAAGCCGTGAAGTGTAAAGCCTAGAAGACAGTGCTAGGCATCATTCACTCCACAGCACCAAATTAATGTGATAGGCGATACGTGTTTTGAAGATGGCAAGGATATGGAGAGACGCTTGGGGCATCGTCGCGCTGCGTGCTATCAACAGTCACAGAGCAAGGCTGATGTGCTGCATATATATATATTTCTTTTTTATCGGCTTTGGATAGTGCATAGGTCCTTCGAGTGATGACCCACTATGTTTCTCTTGGCTGTGATGGCAAGGGGCAGCATTGAAAACAGTGGGCTTTGCAGGCTATCAACAGCCACCAAAAGCCCTTGGGACATGTCGAAATGTCTTCTGCGAAGAAGGTGGGCTGAAGATTCAGAGTCTTGGCGTGCACGCTGAGAATTGCAAGTTGTAACCATCAGAGTTTGTTTTGCAAGTGCGTGAACAGAGACGGCTCACCTACCAGGATTGGTAGCGGGGAGGACTTCGTAGAGTGTGCACCCTCAGATGTTGGCAAGAGGAAGGATGTCTCCGGACTGTTTGGAGGCATGCGGCATCATGCGGCATCATGTGGCATCATGTAGCATCATGTGGCATCACGTGGCCTTGGCCTGGAAGATTGGAGAGTCTTTGGGGGACACGTGGCATTCATCAGGGGTTCCCAAAAATACAATGGCTGAAATCAGATTTCTGAGCGCATTTGGTGACTTTCAATGGTTTGAGTCATTTTTTTATCGTTTTTCAATTTCAGTAATTTCAATAGCTGTCCTATCACCATGGGTTTCATCACCCATCAGCATCCGGCACAGGTTATGTGCTTTGCCCCGAGTACTCCACGCTTTGTGGTGCCACTGGAGCCCATGGTCCGCGTCGGGGTCAGGAATGTCTCTTCCCTGGTGTCATGCGTCATGGTCGCTGTGTGCCTTGGTGGATCCACTTACAATATGACACGCTGGTAGCTTGATCATATCTGATCCTGATCAATGATGAAAGATGATGAAGATGTGTGCTCCACAGTAGGTTTTCGAGGTCAGATTTGGATGCAGGATCTTTTTTGAGACCAAGTTTCCTCGGCAGACAGCCACCGAAGTTTGACGGCCCCATCTTTCCAGCTGCATTTTTGATCCGCGATGTTTGTTTTTTGAAGAAACCGCTTCGAGGCATTCCTCTACTTGAGATCCCAGACTCCAGAGGCAATCATGGTTAAGTTATATAGTGTTATTTAAGCTATGAGCATTTATGAAGGAAAGAACAGGCAAAAACGACTGGTCTTTTTTGTTTGTTTGGTGGCTGGATGCAACAATTCACTTGAGGTGTGTCCTCCTGGTTCCCTTGGTGCCGACTGCAGTGTGAGTGATACGAAGGAGAATCGACAGGCACCAATTTCTGCTGAAGTTGTCAAAAACATCTCACTGACATTTTTGCTATTTGGCCCTGGATGAAGCGGTACAGGGCCCTCAACTCTGCGATATGACTGCATTGTGATATTACATCATTGTCATAAAACTGCATTCATGACATAATTGCCACTGCTAAGCGCTCCCAGCCTTTCTGTTGGGCCAGAACTATCCTTTTGGTTTACGATATCCTCAGCAAGAGTTCCTCTTGAAGGCTGGGCGATTCTGGGAAAGCTCATTTATGCGCTGATGACAGAGATTTTGGATGATTTTGGTATATACAGTACTGTGACTGTGATGTACTTGCAACAGGAAGCATGTCAAAACTGCAGCTGGTAGGAATGGTATGAAGGTGCAGTGTGGTCGCAACAGGTCAATTTTTTTTTTTGCATATTTAATTTAATCTCTTCAGTCTGGTCCCTTTGGATCTGTGAAATTCTGGAAGTTTTTTTCCTGATGGGCCATGGCTGAAGGTCGGCGTGCCCTTGTCGCAGAGCCCTGGCCTTGTAGCTTGGCCTGTACGGCCGAGCCTGCTGGATGGCCCCAACTTGATGAGCTTCAGAGTCTCTCCGGAGCCGCAGGGGGCCGAAAGTGTGGAGGTCTGGATGTACCTAACTCGTGAAGGGCTTGCCGCATCATGATCTTCCGGGTGTGCACCAGCACAGGTAGCTTGTAGCTGGTGCTTTGGCGATTTGATCATACTATGTGTATAAATAAATAAATAAATAAATAAAAAAATATATATATGTATGTATGTATGTATATATGTATGTATATATATATATATATATCGTTTTCATCTTAGTTTTTTGTCAGTGACAAATTCTAATTGTTTCCTTTCTGTGCCACAGCTTGGGCAGGAGTTGCCATATGGTCTCGAGCTTTTAGACGGTGTTCTCAGTGGTGAGCCTTTAGCATCTTCCCCGCGGCAAGCCTATGTGAAGCTTGGTGCATGGGGTGGGAAACCAGCTTGGAAAATCAGACGCTGCAGCCATGAGAAGGCAGCAGTGCAGTTATTGTTGGGGCCACCAAGCTTGCTGGCTGTCATGTGAAGCTGTGGCTATGGGCCAACAGCATTTGTCCCCCAGAACGAAGATGCCCGGCCTATTATCTGCAGTCCGTTATGGTAATTTTCAAGACATTCACTATCGTGCCCAGAGTTTTGACCTGAACACCAGTTGCATATGGACGTAGAATTTGACCTGCTGCAGGTTTGCACTCGGACTCAGATCAACCTTTTGTGAGTCCGTTCACACCGATTGCAGCATTTGAGGTCGAGCCAAGCGAAAAAGCTTTGACCTCATAGAACAGAGCGCATTATATACTATATTATACTAGACCGCAGACGTAAGCAAAGCGCTTGCATGCCATGGCCATTAATCGCGTTAATTTTCTTGAATAATCGCAATAATCAACTTTTCCCTCGTTGATCCAGCGTACCCAGCTTGGACTGCATCGATGGTTACTTCCGCAGTCAGTGCAACATTTGCTCTTGTTGAAGATGCGCACTGCCAGCTTCGGCAGCAGCAGAGGAGGATTTCCACGGTTGACTTGGCCACAGCCATGAAGAATGGAAAGAAAAGCCTGACCATCACTCCATATGGACCGAACAAGGGTTTGGAAAGGTTGAAGTACGAGTACCAAGGAACTACCTATATCACCGATATCCATGGGCAACGTCAACTCACATGCTGGGCAGAAGGCATGACTTTTCTGGAACTTCCGATCTCGCCAGACCGTGAGCCATACCTGAAAGAGCACCGAAACTTTCTGAAAGAGCACCCAGGCAACATTTCAAATCACAACATCTTCGTTGTGGACCAAAGTGGGTCTATGAAATTGAGTGACGTCCCTGGAGCCAGAAATCGTCATTTTGCAGTTTTCTCCTCGATCTTGCTGGATTATATTTTGGAATCCATCAAAAAGAAGGAGGCAAATGACGGCCATGATGTGATCACGATCATGGCCATGCGGGACGCCACTTGTGTGGTTCTTGACCAAGAGCCCCTGGATGAGCTTACATACAACAAAGTCATCGGTTTGATGAAGAGCTTGCGGCCAAGGGGCCAGGGCAATTACATCCCAGCTTTCCAGAAACTATGCAACATGTTAGTTCGCCCATTCAGCTCAAGAGGCAGCAAGACAAGCCCTAACATGCTAACCAAGGTTAGGGTAGTTTTTCTCACCGACGGTCGGCCAAGCGACCAGAAGAAGAAGATAGGCTCAGAACTCCATTCTCATCAGTTGTCGCAGTCAGAGTGGGTCCTTCAGCGAGTTGTCGAATGTGTTCAAAGGATTGCTTCAAGTCTTACCAACCGATGTTCCTTTACATTTGTGTCCTTTGGTGCAGCATCTTCGGGCAAGAGAATTCATGACTTTCTTGTGAAGTTGCGTGATGCAGCCAAACAAGCAGGATCCGATGCTGAAGCCGTTGATGCCGAGACCTCCACAGAGAGATTGGGAAGTGTTTTGACATCGGTATCCTCCACAGCAACAGCTCACTGCACAGCTTTAGGACGAGGACACAGTCTGGAACCCAGACGTTTGCTGGCACTAGATCAGCGACTTCCCTTGCTAGAACAGATTCAGGAGCTAAATCGACACAGACGCCCCAACTTGAAAGATTTCGACGTGCTTTCCATGTCGACGAACGCATTGAAACGGGTGGTTTTCAAGAGAAGAAAAGGAGAGAGACCTGAGGCCGTGCCAAAAGGTTTGAAGTACCGTGCCGCTGACGGCCTTGCACTTTTGAAGCGGCCTTTTGCAAAAGGTGGTGAACGGTATGCTTTCATCGCAAGGGAAGTAGCAGGCTCCAGCAATCCTTCAACTTGCAGATTTGTGGGTGACTGGCTTGTCGCCAAACAACCCAGCAGGCATCGCGAAGCTCAAGATGGGAGCAAATCAAGCCCGTGGTTTCCACGTCATGTACACCAGATTGCAGAAGAAAGCAAGCCACTTAGCTGACAAGTTCAACCTTCGCTTGGAATGGCTTGATAAGTGCTTGACTTGCCATTTGCCGCGAGTTGAATTTGTGGATTGCTTCGTTTACACATGGGAGCCTTGCCGTGAAGGACGGCTTGACCAAGAATCAAATGCAGAGGTGAATTGGCTGGCAGAGTCAGAGTGTCTCATTGAGCCACTGCTTGATGCTAGTCAAGACTATCTCAAATTCAACTCCAACTACGGGTATGTCGGTCAAGGTGCGGACACAGCGCAGAAAAGTGCTGCTGACGTTGCTTGGTTGCTCCACTCACATCAGGGTACTCTTCAGAATTCTACCTTGCCGGCAATGGGTGAAGATGAGGAGGATGAAGATGAGGAGGAACATGAAAACACCGCTGTGGCTTGAGCTCATTGCAGCGTTGTTTTGAGAGAGCTTTCTTTGTTTTCCAATCTTCCCCCAACCATTTGGATCTCACAGTGATGGCTTTGAACATGGGGTTTTAGTCTGAGTTTGTTTGGCTGCTCAGGTCGATGCGATGGCTGGCAAATACAAATGGTCAAAGCCCACACCAGAAATAGGGCAAAAACTGAATGGTTTGCATCCTTGTGAAATTGCCCAAACCTTTTCTCACTACACCTTCCACTTCACCAAACGTATGTGCCTCGTCGTGGACTTGCAAGGCAAAGTGCTCCTAGATAGTCAAAGCAGAAGAGTTCTGAAATTGACAGACCCTGCCATCCACACCTCGTACTTTGACACAGATTGGAACAGAAGGTGGATTAGACGGTATGGCAGGACCGATAAGGGTGACAAAGGATTTTGTGAATTCTTCAAAAATCACCAGTGCAATGACCTCTGCGAAATCCTCGGGCTTAGCTAATTTAGCAAGGGCAAATGTCCGGCAGTACGTTGATGACATTTTCCTTGAGTCAGCGCTTTCCATCACGCTATAAAAGCAAGACGGCAAGCGAAGAAAGCAAACAGTGCACAGAGTCAAAAAAACAGCAAGACTTGCCTGTGTTGATGTTTGCGTTGATCCAAGCTTGTTATGATCAGCTTGCAAGCATCGCCACATGAATCTTCATTTGGAGAACTTGTGAGAACTGGCAACTTTCCATCGCTTACCCGTCCCAGCTCAGAAAATCCGCAGATTTTCCGAGGATCGAAGCCTTCAGCTGGACTGGCAGTACCACCGCGGCAGCTCGGTTCATAATCTTTTGCGACCTTTGCGGACCTTGCGTCCTGTTCTGAATCAACAGCCAACGTAGTTCAACGTAGTTCAACGTAGGTCCTGAATGGTGCTAACCTTTGACTGTCCTTGTGCAGTCATGCAGCCGCCCTTTAGTTCTGATATGTTCTGATGTGCGGGCTAAGGTGATTTTCATCACTGTCGCTTGCGTCCCTTGTCCGCAGCACAACGTTTGTTGACCTGCAACTGCAGTTGCTCTTCAAAGTCTGAGTTCGAGATGATTGACAATTTGATATGCAAATGTAATTTATACAGTTACACGGATATGCGTATACATACATACATACATATATATATATATATATATATATGAGTCACGGTCAAAATGGTTGAAGACCACTTTAGTATTGCAGGAGTTTTTTGTCGGAGATGTGCACGAAACACTGTAAAGCGATAGGGCCCCCTCCAAAAGCGATAACCTGGGACCATACACGACAGTCCATTAAACTTGGCATAAACCAAGCAAATACTGTTGTGCACATTCACAGAACGGGCAAAACCGATGAGGGAAATTCAACCTGTGGTGCCATGTTTCCTCAGTTACCAGAGTTACCAGATCATTTGGCATCCAACTCGCTCGCGCTCTTTCTCTCTCTCTCTCTCTCTTGTGTTTTTGTGGCAAAATTCCTTCGAACAATGTCATATGTTGGAGGGATTATTTGGCGATAACCTTAGCGATAAATTAGCGATAACCATTTGTTGCACTCGGTCCCCTGGCCAAGCCATAGAGCCATCTCCATAACTTTGGAAAGGAAATGAAAGGAAATGAAAGGACAGGAATGCAAAATGAAAGGGAAATGCATGCACATGAAAGGAAAATGAAAGGACATGAATGCACATTGGAATGAAATGAAAGGACTATGCAAGGAAAATGAAGGAACATGAATACAAATGAAAGGAACATGAAAGGAAATTGATCCATTTCCGAGCCTGTTTAGGAATGAATTTTAGCTTCATGTTGGATCTCGAACATGCTGATTTCCACAAAACCCTGGAAAGCGATAGGGTCCCCCTCAAAAGCGATAAGCATAACAATAGCAATTACTCAGATGTATATAAAGGATTTTGACGGGAACTCACACACACCGATATATATATATATATTATATTAAATTATATTAAATTATATTATATTATATTATTATTTTGTATTAAACAATATAACGTTATATTATGTTATGTTATGCTATGTTAAATTATGTTATGTTATATTTTATTATGTTATATTATATTATATCATACTATATTATATTTTATTAAATAATATAATTAATATTATATAATTATATTATATTATATTATGTTATGTTATGTTATATTATATTATGTTATTTTATATTTTATTATTTTATATTATATTATTTTATTATTTTATATTAAATAATATAATATAATATAATATTATATTATATTATGTTATGTTATGTCATATTATGTTATGTTATATTATATTATATTATATCATATCATATTATATTATATTATATTATATTAAATAATACAATTAATATTATATTATATTATGTTATGTTATATTATATTATGTTATGTTATATTTTATTATGTTATATTATATTATATTATGTTATGTCATATTATTATACTATATTATATTATATTATATTATATTATATTACACATATGTATATAATTGCACACGCACACATATATATATCTATATATATACACATCCTTTTATATATGTTTATATTATATTATATTATTTTATTTTTTAATTACATGTATATATGATACTATTATCATATCAAATCATCTGAAGCTATTTGCCGTTCCATTTTAACAGTGAGCCCAATGAAGGAGGGCGCCGGATGTGCTGCGACACCACCGCCAACGACCAGCGGGGCATCGACAGCTTCACCCACAGCAACAACCGGAGCCGGCTCAGGTAGCACCACTTAGGGACCTGTTGATCCTGATGAGTTCATGGTATCCGGCATTCACCATCAATGCCCAAGCTACGGAGCCAATTCTTCTCATCCTCTTGAGATGAAAATATATTCCAGTAAAATGGATCCGTGCAGACCAACCGTCGGTTTTGGGCAGGTACACCAGTAACTGTCAGCAACCGTCCTGGGCTGTCCCTTGGCAGGTAAAGCATAAAACTTTGGAACGACGCGTGTGGACTGCTGCAGGTAGGTTTTGTGGACCTTGATTTGGCGTCTTGGTCGTTTGGGATGGCTCAACTGCTGATCATCAGTTCCTCCGCTGCGGTGAATTTGTGCCAGCATTCAAAATGTGCCAAGATGTGCCAAGGCTTTTGCTGGCCCTCAATGTGCCTTTCCGAGAGCTGCAACAAGAGCCCGGACTGGAGGTTTTCGCCCAGGAGGTCAAGGCCATGGCAGCTGGATCAACAGATTTTCTCAATTGGCCAGCACCAAAGTTGCTACGAACCTGTGCCAGGCAGTTTTCCAGATGGTGTTCTATGTTGACCTGGCACCTCGTCTCCAACTGCGGAGTGGGGGAGAAAGAGGATATTGCACTGTGTTTTCTAGGTTGGCTTTGAGATTCACAGATTGTCAAAGGGATACAAAGCAACAGCGGCAAACCGTTCATACACATATATGATCATATATTCTGTATATTTAAGTATGTTTAAAACCAGAGTCAGTTGCTGCCGGAGCAATGACTGAGACCAACGTTGGCATCAGTGCTGCTGACGATGGTCGCGCAGTTATCGAGGCCCGGTGTGGCGAGCCCTAGGTTGACGGAGCCACAAATACAACCCCCTACATACATCTAAATATGGTGAGCTGTATATAATTATAATATATACATATATATGTATATAGTTATATATATGGAGTTAAATTGAGGCACAGTATGGCATAGTTATAAGTTATAAGTCGTAGCTGATTTTCGATTGACACTCTGAAAGATCGTCCCTGATACTCTGCCCTAAGCAGGCATCTAGCAGAATCTCTGTCGACCTCACCAGGCCGCCGTGCCGCTGCAACGGCAACCGCAACTAGAGGAGCTGAGATTTGCATGGATATTTGGGACTCAAAATCTTTATCGTGAGATCTTGAATGTTTTATTGTGGGGTTGCATGGGTTGATTCTGGTGGTTTTTCTCTTTTTGGTGGGCAAAGAGGGTGGGCAAAGGGTGTGAGAGGAAGAACTGCGACTTCAGATTGCAGATCCCGTCCCTTGGATTTGATGCGAAATGTGGGCGCTGCGGAGCAACAGTAGGGTTGTGAAATGCCTTCAGCCTACTTCTAAAGAATTTTAAACAAATAAAAAAAGCGAAAACTAATCCAAAAAAAAAGCAAAACCCAATCCAAACCTCAATTAGAAAAAAACAAAAAAAATGCAAAAAAAACAAACTCCAATCCAAACCTCAATTAGAAAAAAGCAAAAAAAAAGCAAAAAAAAACAAAACCAAAAGCAAAAAAAAGCAAACTATTTGTTTTCACTTTTTTTTCGCTTTTTTTTGCTTTGTTTTTGCTTTTTTTTTTGCTTTGTTTTTGCCTTTTTTTCCGCCTTTGTTTTCGCATTTTTTTTCCGTTTTTTTCTTTCTCAGGTGACCTGATGACCGGGACCTTCGAAAATGTAAGAAACTCGTGGAAAAAAGCGAAAAAAATGCGAAAAAAAACAACAAAAAGTGAAAAAAAAGCGGAAAAAAAGCGAAAAAAAAGCGAAAAAAAAGCGAAAAAAAGCGAAAACAAAGCGAAAAAAAAGCGAAAAAAAAGCGAAAAACAGTGAACACAAATAATTTGCTTTTTTTTTTTGCATTTTTTTTGCTTTTTTTGCTTTTGGTTTTGCTTTTTTTTTTTGCTTTTTTTTTCCCTTTTTTTTTGCTTTTTTTTTTTGCTTTTTTCTAATTGAGGTTTGGATTGGAGTTTGCTTTTTTTTTGCATTTTTTTTGTTTTTTTCTAATTGAGGTTTGGATTGGGTTTTGCTTTTTTTTTGGATTGGTTTTCGCTTTTTTTAGTTCAATTTATTTTTCTATCGTTTTATAGAAGTTGCCTGTAAGCCGTGTCACAACAGTAGGGTTTCAGTCATGTCCAAGCCGTGGAGCCCTAGGCGTCATCATTGTACAGTTCCATGGTTGGAAACCACCTGAGAAGCGCTACAATCACCAGCCACTTGGCAAAGCAACGTAACGTGAAGATGAGAGGTCTTGATGCCTTGACGATCTTGTTGTATGTAGGAACCAAGTTGAAACTGCGGGATTCATGTCTATCAGATTTATCAGGGTATGTCTATCATACGTATATATAGTCAATGAGTGCAGTTCCTCCCAAGTGTGCTTCTATCCATGGTCACATTTGTGTCTACTTATATATAATGACAAAATTCATTACCGAAAGTGAGATTGCCATTGGAAAAGCGCATGTCACTGATGTAGTGTAATTGAGCAGGCAGCAGCCATCAACACCCAAAAGTGCTAGCAATGCCATCAATACCGCACACCCGAAAGTCCAAGCACATGTGAACAGACTGTGAAAGAATGGTACGCGAACCGTTTGCAGATTGGTTCTATTGCCAGCCGTTCCAGAGCTGTTTGCACGGGGGAGTTTTTTTTTGTTTCAACTGGGTGGTTGAAGATGCCCGGTAGAGCCGGTAGAGCTGTTTTTGGGCGGGACTTGTTCCGAGGCATTGGTGAGGCAGGCGTCACCAAGGCCCACCCCATCCTGCTTCAGAATTCCTCTTGTTCCTATGCGTATGGCGTATGCGAATGTATGCGACATGAGATACTTTCCGAAGGATCATATAAGTAATTT